ATTTAATTGCAGAGCGGCAAAGTATCAGGAAGTAAATCCAGGTGTTTTCACAGTTGTTACATTTCCTTTCCTTTTTGCTGTCATGTTTGGTGATTGGGGGCATGGAATATGCTTATTACTTGCAACATTAATTTTGATTGTCCGGGAAAAGGAACTTTCTAGTCAGGTAAGCTTGTGATGATATTATCAACGTTCAAGTTTCTAGAACTTTGCCGCTTGTAAGCTGTTGTGGAAAACTATTTGAGGACATATCTATTCTTCCATTGTTTTTTTAACCTTTTTCTGTTTATTTGTCACTTCTTTGTCGGTCTCATTGACAATTAATTAAACTGCCGAAAGAATAATATTCTCTTATGTTTTTTTATTTTTCTAACACTGTAAATACGCGTGTGACAACGGATTATATTACAAAGAGATTTTTGGCTTATTTTGGTGAACAGAAAAGTTCAATAAGGATCACCTTAACCTTAATGTATACTGTGAATGACTTCATGTAATGGATTTTGTGGAAATATGAGCTTGCCATGTTCGTGGTTTTGTTCGATGGGTTTCCTTACAAAGTTGAGATACCTTTTAGTTTCCCGCGTTTGTAATCTTTATATGTATTCCTTCTTGGTTTGTTGTCTCTACGGATGGAAACTAAGTAAATTATATTTCTTGGAAACTGCAGAAGCTTGGAGATATAACAGAAATGACATTCGGTGGCCGTTATGTTATTTTGATGATGTCCATCTTCTCAATTTATGCCGGGTTTATCTATAATGAATGTTTCTCTGTAGCTCTTGATTTATTTGGTCCCTCGGCTTATGCTTGTTGTGACCTCTCTTGCCGGTATTCCAATCGCGAAGTTATCAATGTTGTATACTCTTCCTACTTTAGAAGAATCCCTTCCCATAGTTTTTTTGCTGCATTTTTGCAGTGATGCATATTCTATTGGTTTAATTAAGGTGCGTGACACTTACCCATTTGGGGTGGATCCTGCATGGCATGGTACCCGTAGTGAGCTTCCATTTCTAAACTCTCTAAAGATGAAAATGTCAAGCCTTCTTGGGGTGGCTCAGATAAACCTCGGAATTATTTTGAGTTATTGCAATGCAACATTCTTTGGTAATAGTGTGAATATATGGTAAGTTTGATATGTCAATCAAGTTCTTTGCTTTGCTTATATATTCCAGGTCTTTAGCTGACCGCTGACTGAGGTTGCCTTTGCTCACTCATTCCTCAGGTTTCAATTCATTCCCCAGCTGATATTTTTGAACAGCCTATTCGGCTATCTATCACTCCTTATTTTGAAATGGTACACTGGTTCACAAGCTGATTTGTACAACATCATGATATACATGTTCCTGAACCCTACTGATGAATTGGGGGATAATCAGCTTTTTCCGGGCCAAAAAACAGCTCAGGTTATTTCTCTTGCTTTTTATGTTCATTTTTAATTTTAATACCATTCACTGGCGGAATGTTCATCCCACTTCATATTTTTACGCGTTTCTTTCGAGCTTGTGCTATTATTACTTGCCCTGGTTTCCGTACCATGGATGTTATTACCAAAGCCATTTCTTCTAAAGAGACAACATGAAAACGTATGTCATGCTCTTTCTCAAATTCTTACCAAAACATCCTCTTTCGATCACTTATTATCTGTGCTGTGCCTTTTCTTTAGAGGCATCAAGGCCATTCATATGCGCCAGTTGAAACAACGATTGTCACTCTCCATTCAGAAGCGAGTCATGATTCCCATGGTCATGGTCATGGGGAATTTGAGTTTAGTGAAGTCTTTGTGCATCAACTCATACAAACCATAGAATTTGTACTTGTTGCAGTTTCAAACACAGCCTCATACCTCCGACTATGGGCCCTCAGGTATATTTATGCTAATCTTCGCTGAAATAACGCCAATTTCAAATCTAAATTCTAAAAGATGGTGAGCTCATTTGTGCATGCTTATCCCAGCTGATTGTATAAACTAATTGAAAATACCATGAAGATAAGCTTTCTTTTCTGCATATTGTTAACAGGTGAATGGTTCTTTGACACATATTGTTAACAGCTGATTTCCATAGAGAAATTGCTCTGTGCTTTCCGACGTAAGTTCCCCAAGAATAGGGTATAATTGTTTTCGCCTTTTTTTTTTTACTATTTTTGTTCTTTTATATGAATGTTGTCGGATTTTATGAAAGCCTAGCCTGCAAATTCATGATGTTTGTTCTTCTCTTTTTGCAGTCTTGCTCACTCACAGTTGTCAATTGTGTTCTGTGAGAAGGTTCTTCTCCTTGCTTGGGGTACGTCTTTCGCGTTATGTTATGCCTATACGTCCTCAACGAGTAGAAGTAACAAATCTTGGCAGTTTATATCTTATGATATTGCTTCTATGACTTATTTTATCTGAACTTAGGATGAGTATTAGATAAGAGTATAAACCAAACATGTGTACCAAAAATAAATAAAAAGAATCTTTTTCATATATTTCATGGATAACCTAGCTTGATGATCCTTTCATTTAATAGTCTATTCCGTTCAATGAGTTCATCATAGATGGAAAGTCTAAACTTTGCGTGTATTTGGTATGCATGTGATGATAGCTACAGATACGACAATATGGTCATCATGGTTGTTGGAATCATCATCTTTATTTTTGCAACCGTGGGTGTATTGCTAATCATGGAGACCCTGAGTGCTTTCCTACATGCTCAGAGACTTCATTGGGTAGAATTCCAGAACAAATTCTACGAGGGAGAAGGTTAAAAGTTCTATCCGTTTTCCTTCGCGGTGATTGACGATGAAGACGATTGAAGCATTCAAAGAATCGAATAAGAAATGATGACGATGGAGTTGAGTTTTGATAGGTAACAAGCTTCGTTGATTAGAACAATCATTAGGAAATCGGATTTAAATGTAGCAGGAAAGCTTTCAAAAGCCTCAACACTGCTGCCTGCTTTTTTTGCCTTCCCATTGGTGACTTTTTTTTTTGCTAGCACATTTTATTTAATAAAGTTTGAATTTAATTTATTTTTCTATTTTTTAAATAAGAGGAGCCATTCGTTTAGTTGCTGCTGAGGCAAATCTGTATATAAAAGATCATACTACACACGGAAAGTTGATGAGAAAGGTTGATTATACGTGTATATCACAAAAAACAACATTCACAAAATTTGAATATTAATTAGATTTGTGGAACAAATTAAGTTTGATTTCTTTTATTAATTTCATTACATTTAATTTTAATAAAGTTTAGATACAACTAACAGAATAATTATAAAAAAAAGGAGCGAAGTCGGTAGCTCTTTAATAAGGGCGGGTATATAAAGGGCAAATAAGTAAAGTAAACGTGCGTCGTTCTTCTCCGCTTCATTTTGATGTTGATTTGAGATCCAAATCCAAAGCCTTATTTTTCAATTTTCCACATCCTAGTTCAGTATATATGGTTTTCGGTATATATGTATTTACATTTTATCCCCAGTTTAAACCCAAAGGTAATGGACGGTGACGGTCTTCGATGAAGCGACCGCAACCAGTGTAATTCAATGGCGGAAGTTACAAGCATGAACAACTGCTCCAAACACGCCGAGCCACCGATACTAAGACTAACAACGGTTTTAGTACCAACGGTACCGTTAAAATCGATGTAAAGAAAGAGAATGTGAAAGATCCGAAAATTTGCAGTTGCTTGCTTCAACAAGCGACTTCGGATTCCGGTCCCGAATCCATCGGTGTTTGATGATTACTTCTCGCTGGCAAAGCCAAAGTCCGGTGTTGATCGCCGACTTGTAAGCTCTGTTTTGTTTTTCTCTCCATTGCGCTGCGTTTATTTGTAGGCTTTAGCTGCGGATCTGGATTTTGGTTTGTTGAATGGCATGATTTTTAGGGGAAATATGGTACTCGTAATGCGCTTCAATGCTCCACTTGTTTGTATTGAAATGGAAGCCTGTAAGTTGGTTTTTCTTTTAAACACGAAGTAAAGCGACTTCTTTATCTGATATCATGTTATACATTCAAGGCATTTTGTGTGGGTTCGAATTCACTTCATTCAATTATAGTTATGTTGTCCCATTGTCATTATTACACAAGTAGCAATAATCAGAAATTTCCTCTTTCTTTAGGTTTGTTCAGAAAATTATTCCTTCTACATCTGGTCTTTATGTCACGCAACTGATATCTGGTATATTTGGCTTACAATGTCGCTTTGGAAGTAGAAGATTATCTGACCACTTTCAAGTATTCAACCGTCGTGCTTTCTCTTGATAAGGGAGAATGTATCTGCAACTTACTTGCCACTCTTGAACTTCATCCTCGAATCACAATACCCGCAGACTATTATTGTTATATATCGAGTGAGAACTCAAATGTCTACTTCTATGACCGAAACATGCATGTGTAAATAAGGTTATACTCCATTGGGTACTAGCGGACCACTCATTTGTAGCTTTTTCACTTAACACTTGAGATCATTGTTGTCTGCAGGGTCCGGTTATATAGTAGTAGCTACTAGCGTGGAACCACGGGTAGAACTTGTTGGCTTCGGCGGACCTCTATGGTGGTGTTTTAGTATGGAAGAGATCAACAAGTAAAGGCCAACATATAACCTTATACAGCGATACAAGTCAAAAGCTCTAAAACGCATACATCAGGTACTAGTAGATGCATTGGAATCAAGATGGATAATCAGGTTTATTCGCTCGGTTTGATTATTCTTTGTTTATTTTGTTCAAATCATGAACCGTTCCAATGTGTCAGTGTCTGCCATTGATGGGTAAACCACCCGATCATTGGTTGACTTGAATTTTTCAGTCATGGTATTCTATATTACAAGTTGAGGAAATTTATGGAAAATTTGCGATGAAATGCATAGGATTTAGTTTATACACTGCTTCTTTGTGTAACTTAGCCATTGCACCAAAAATTGTAGAATTACATTGTGATGAATTTGTTTTCCTTCCCTTTGTCTGTGATCGATCTTGTCGTATATTTTCCCAAGTGTTTAGTGTAGAACAAATAATAAATCCCAGGAATCTTAGCAGTTTTTTTTTTCTCTTCCTAAAGCTAAAAACTTTTGGTTATATACAACACGACCTTAATTTACAAACCAGAGAGAGACAACTGGCTTACAACCAAATCACATAGTTGAGTTCAACTGACTGACCCCAAACCCTATAAACATGAACTAAGGGTTTCAAACCAATTAAGTCAGTATCAACTCAATCATCATTTAACAATGAAAATCACTCCAGTCTCTTGACTAAATAACGCTGGGTTTATGCATCTTTTTCACCTCTGTCGTCGCCGTTTTGTATCCACCTGAAACATGATGTCGATGTTAGGGTTAAATGTCAGTTACACACAAGCTGAAGAATCTAGTAAACACAGTGCGATTGAAAACTTAATCTGTTCATGTAATCATAAAACCTCGAGCTATTCTCATATTACAAATGATGAAATGACCAGTGACCATCACGGGGATATCATTAAGGTATGAACTCTAGATTTGTACGTAAATTTTATGCAACAATGTCCAACAACATGATGCATACTCTTTACACTCTTTTCTTTTACAAAATGTTTAGTCCAACGCCTATGTTTGGTATGTGTTAGACGCGGGTTTTGGATATGGATAGTTTAAGAAAATGATTAGTTGAAGCAGGCATAGTGTAAAACACTACCAAAAAGGAAGGTAAGGAGAGGGAATTGGGAATACCTTTGTACCTGAGTGTCGGGAAGTGGTATGGGAATTCTGCAGCTTCTTCTGACCTTGAGGTAAACAAGTTTCACAAAAGAAGTGATCAAGTGTTTTCGCCTCCTCTGCTGTCATTTCTATACAAGCAGGGTGAAACCTGAATCAAAAGTAGATGCTGAACGCCATACTAATATAAATTCGCTGCATTTTATTCACACAAGCTAATAAAATGTCTTCCAAATCAAAGTATAATCTCAGACATCATGGAGAGAAGACTTGGTTCATATTTTGAACAGCTTCTTGCAAACCCAAAATTAGGATCAAAACTCGACTCGAAAAACTGATTTTTTTACTCGATTCGTAAAAAATAAACTCGAATTGAGTTCAAATTGTAATTTCATAAACTCGACTCGAAAAAATTTCAAATTCAAATCGAGTTGTAAAATACAACTCGAATCGAAATTTTTAGTAATTAGTAGATTGATTTTCAAGTTTAAGTCGAAGTTTATCACATATGAAAAAAAACAAAAAATGTATATATGTTCAATATGATTATAAAATATCATTTAAATTAGTATTAAATAATTTTATAATATTATAAATATTTATAATTAAATTTAAATAGAAACTCGAAAATTTAACTATTCGACTCGAATTTTATAAAACCGACTCGACTCGAAAAAATTTCAAATCAAATCCGAGTTATAAAATAAGACTCATCAACTCGAATAACTCGAAAATTTTTTACTTGACTCGATCGAACGCTCACCCCTACCCACAATATAAGATATATAGTCAGCTAAAATAACCCCAAGCAGCCTCACCAGTCACTGCAGCCTTCGCACTGAACCATTAGATCGTCGGGATTGTAAGGCATCTCACATTTGCAATAACTGCAACATTGAGTACAACTTTAACAACCCTAATCTACAATATGCTAAATAAAACCCTACAGATTTGAACTTAAGCAAGTAATTGTGTATATAGAATGAACAAATTACAGCCACACAGAAATTAAAACATACATAAAAGGTGGAAATTACTGAAGAACTTACACGGCAACGCGATCGGGATTGAAAGCACCTGTGCAGGAATTGTACTCAAAACGACAGAAGTAGTCTTCGTTTCCAACAGCATCAAGCTTGGTATAGCTTTTGAAGCTATGAACCGTACACTTCCCTTCGATGGTATCGACGCTTTGCAAGTCGTAATGATCAGACAAGAAAACCTCCTTAGAACCGTGGAACTGTCTCCTCCCTCCAACCGATTCCTCCGGCCGATAATACCACCTCACGTGCACCTTCACGTTTCCCCCACGTACGTCCGCCTCGATCCACTCGATTCTCGCCACGTATTGCGGGTTCGATCGCTCCGCTGGTCGCATCAACACGCAATCCCCCGCTATCGATCACCACCACAACTTTTATAAACACCAAAACAAAAACAAAAAACTTAACTCTAAGTTTATTGCTAGACTTACGTTTAATTGTTGTATTGATTTGCCGGGGTGTATAAGACTCGATAGTTCTCCTCGGCGCTTTGCCTCTGGCCATGGCGGAGCAATCTTCTTGGGGGAAAACAGATATAGACGAAAAAGAAAAGTTTTGAAATAATAAAGTAATATATTTGTAATTAGATTCAGTGTTTTTCGGGGGTAGGTTGATGGGTTTAAAGATTGGAATTAAGAGAAAAAAAAGTTGGGAGGGGGAGGGGGGTTTTAGGGGATAAGTGAGGCGTGTTGACCAAATTTCATTGTACGCTATAACGAAAAAGACGTAATCGGTGCTTATAATTCAGGGAAGAGACAGATAAGCATGATGAAGGTTGGTTATTGTGTTTGGCATGGACATGGGAAAATTCATAAGGATTCACTCAGAGACATATTCTGGGGATTGTCTCAGGAAATACGGGTTAATATACGGTTAATATACAGCATTACCGGATACATTAAAATGTATTTAATAAATTCGGTTTAGCGGTACCTATTATGTTGACAACTAATAATGTTTTAGGTAGAAAATATGAAAAACTATTAAAAAATTTGGTAACCGGTAAACTTTGGTTATCGGTAAGTATCTATCCTTTTTATAAAAGTGTCCATACGTTTAACATATCAAGTAAATTTTACCGGTTTTGTCATAATGAATCTGGTTTTGTCATATTTTTACCTGTTATATTGTAAATTATCTATCCTTTTTATAAAAGTGTCCATACTTATTTCACTGTGAAAATATATTTATTATTATCTTTAGTTAATATTGTTAAATTTAAAATCTAAATAATATTTTAATAAATATCAAAACAATCAAAAATTTTTTGTGTAAATGAAATTATTAAATTAATATGTAGGTGGAAAACATGAAACACTATTAAAAAAATTGAAACTAAATTACATAACTTTCAAAAAAGTATATATCATTTTTATAAAAGTGTCCATACTTATTTCACTGTTGAAAACATATTTATTATTATATTTGGTTATATTGTTAAATTTAAATTCTAAATAATATTTTATAAAATATCAAAACAATCAAATATAATTTTGTGTAAATTAAATTATTAAATTAATATTGTAGGTGGAAAACATGAAACACTATTAATAAATTGAAACATAAATTACATAACTTTAAAAGCAGTTTTAAATCCTAAAAAGTGTCGATACTTTTAAAAAATATATCGATCCAAAACGATATACCAGGTAAAAATATGATAAAACCGGTAACAAAATGATAAAACCGGTAAATTTAAAAGTGTCGATACGTTATATAAGGATCGACACTTTGTGAATTTAAAAGAGAAGCAGTTATAGCGCCTATAATGTGTCGATACTTTAAAAAAATATATCGATCCACAACGATATAACAGGTAAAATTATGATAAAACCGGTAACAAAATGATAAAACCGGTAAAATGATACCGGATATATTGAAAGTGTCGACACTTTCGTAAGTACGTGTAATAAATTATCGACACTTTCAAAGAAATAGGTAATTATCCTTTCGAAAGTATCGACACCTGACATAAAAGTATCGACACTTTTGTATTTGTATCGATTAAATATAAATAACATATCCGATTAAAATATAAAGGCCATAGCTAAATATCCTCTGAAAAAAGATAGAACAGACGAGTTTTTGAAATCGAAGAGTAATTGTTGCTGCATTTCAGAAGGCGTTTCTAAAGCGAAGTTTGTTTGTTTGTTGCTGCAGTCGAATCGAAAAGTATGTTGTCGAAACCCTAATTTTTTATTATTACAGTAATCGCGATAGGGTTTTTTATGTGTTGTTTGGGATTTTGGAGTAAGGAAGCATTTGGGACCGATTGCAGGTAGAAATAGATATTCAAGGAAAAATAAATGTCGATACTTTTATTAAATATTATAGGTAGAAAATGATATTATAGGTTGTATAAATGTGCCGACACATTTTGGTGTGGCCATTCAAATTCTTTTGAAGAAAACCGTTTTACCACAAGAGTAGTTATCTATATTTGTATATTGAAAAGTGTATGTAACAAAATAATTTGATTTGCGTAAACTGATATATGAAGGAAAAATGGAGTCAATGGGTTGGAAAATTGTGGTGGAGCAGATGACTTTGAAATTGAGGCCGAGACTCGAAAGCAACCAAAGGGTGGATATATGTACTTCTAGTAAGTATCAATGTCTTTTTGTTATTATTGTTGAAATGGTAATTGGATTAAAGTATCGATAAACTTTAAATTGATTACAAATTTTAAATGTTAACAGTATGGCCGAATGCAAAAGGATGAAGGGAGATGGCACACAGAGCGGTTCGGTATGTAAAATGAAATTGACATTGAGTAGTATTAGTATTTAGTGTTAATGTATTGATTAAGAAACGTTTATGTTTAATATTAGGTGAAAAAAGATGTGAGGTCCAATGGAATTCAATGAGTGATGCTGAAAAGGAACCTTACATCACACAGTCAAGGAATGATAGTAAAGAATACAAAGAACGGAGGAAAGCACATGAAAATAAGGTATTCATTAAACTTGTAAATACGTGATACAAAATATATAAGAACTATAACATTATATATTGTTAAAAATGTAGGAAGTGTCGACAAGGTGCAGCATTAAAAGGGTGAATTTATTAATTAAACACCTTAAGGAGAAGGGTCAGTTGAATGTGCTGGGAGAAATAGGTTTTGGATCGTTGATCGGAGTAAGGGATCGACCTATTCGGAGGGAATTGTGTCGATCCTTGATGGCACAATTTGACGTCAGTCAATGTATGGCTAAGTATGGTGATTATTCATTCCCTCTGGGGGTATCGACTGCTGCAGCCGTATTGGGGGTACAAAACAAAGGCAAAGTGTTATAGAAGTCTGTAGGAGTAAGAACTGGAAAGCACTTGCCTCCAAATATGGTTTGAATCATAAGGTGACATATGCTGAAGTTGAAGAGGATATCAAAAGTGGATCTTACTTGGGGGATGAGCTGAAGGCCCGAGTTCTATTGTACCTTGTCGGGATATTTCTTTGTCCAACGGGTGATACGTCAACGAACAAGGAATATATGAAGCTCATTTGCGATGAAGGCTTGAAGGGTGAATTCAATTGGGCTGAATATATCCATTCGAGATTGATTGAATCAATAATCACCTTTAAAAAGGGCAGCCAGAGATACCTCAAAGGGTGCATAGCTATCTTAGAGGTAAATGAGTTGAATCACTTTTTTGTGTTTTTATATAAAATATAAATTTTATTATAAATGCAGGTTGCACTGTTCGATTTTTGGTCGGGCTGTGAGGCAGTGCCGGCTTATGAAAGAACCGGAGTGGCACGCATCCGTGCATGGGGGAAGGAAGAGGTGGTTAGAGTGATGGTGAAGTTGAAGTTGGATAGAGAGAAGAAGCAAGAAATGGTAATAAATGTAATTAATAATATTAAGAATATAATCAATGTCTTAATATTGTAATTTAATTTTTTGAAGGTTATTGGCAAGGATGTAGAGGAGGCAGTGGAGGCAGAGGAGAAGAAAGGAGGGATGGTTGTATTGGGGGATGAAGGTGAGTGGGACGACGGTGAAGCAAAACAGAGTAACTTCGACATTTTGATGTCTGAATTGGCTGATATCAAAAAATCCAATTTGAAATCATGCAAAGACAATCAAGAGTCGAAGAGAAACTTGATCAAGTCGTAGAGAAACTCGAGAGAGTCGAAGATACACTCGAGAGGAATAAGGGGGTAGTGGAAGGAAAAATAGATGGAGTGGTGAAAGAAGTAGAGGTGTTGAGGGGTGAAGTGGTGAAAGAAGTTGGGGTGTTAAGGGGTGATATTAAGATGGTGACGGGAGAAAATTTGAGGGAGTGGTGAAGGAGGTTGTTGATTTGAGGAGTGAACTTACGGGGGTGAAGGGGGTGGTTGATAAATACTCGGATGAAGGAGCTCAATTGAAGGGTGAAATAAAAGATATGAAGCTATGTAGAAAAAAAGTACGATGAACTGAAAAGATATGAAGAAGAAAAGAGGGAGGAGGAAGAAGAAGAGATGGAAGAAATGAGGAGGAAGGAAGTCGATGTCATGTATACACCGGAGAGTGTTATAGCAGCAGTTTTGGATTCGGAATGTCCTGCACCCCAGAAGAAGAAGCAGAAGGTAAGTTTAATAAAAGAATACTTAATTTGATTTTTATTATGTTGTTGTGACAAAAATTTGTATGCAAAATTGTAGGTTGAAAAAGCGGATATTCCAACCGGAATTGATGACATCGAAGCTGCAATTTGTGATTATTTATGGAATAGCGAGTTAGAATCGGGGTAAGTGAAATATATTGTTTTGTGAGTGATATTTAAATATTTCATGACAAGATATTAATCCTAATGATTCATACAGATATTCTGTAATATCAATGGGAAATCAATTCGCTACTGTATACGACGTTGCAACGTTGAAGCCTACGGAATGGGTTGGCGGTGTGGTAAGTAGAAAGTAGAAAATAAATAAAACTTATTGAATATGTTCTGATTGTGTAATTAATTTTGTTAGGTTATCGATTTGCTCGCCTGGACCATATGCTACGATTCTCAAAAGTCACACCGGAGGATTGGCTACCTTCCATATCTCTTAGTGGTGAGTTAAATTAATAAATATTGAAAAGTAGTGTTATAGACGGTAAATTAATAATGTTTGTTGCGTAATTACAGCAACAGGCGTTGGAAGCCAACAACAAAGAAAGTGTTGAGAATATTTCTACCTTCTGGGGTGTCATATTGGATAACTATGTGAAATTCACCGACTGTGAGAAGGTAAGACACCATACCAATTGCAAATGATGTTTTCGGATATAGAATGTTGAATTTTGTCAAATTGGGTGTGAAATTTGTTGCAGATAATGATCACAATAAACTACCATAATTCACATTGGTATCTGTTGGTGTTGGATATGGTAGATCATGTTGTAACATATATGATAGTATGTTTACAACTGAAGCAGCTAAACAGAGAGTGAAGGATGCTAAGAGATTGGTATGTATGTCTGTATGAAAGGACATTATGTAAATTATAATGCATAATTTTTTTGGTGCATAACTTCTTCTATTTTAATGCAGATTAAAATATTAGATTCTTATAATAAGAAACGCATTTGGGTTGAGTCATGTGGATCTCTAGGAAAGTATCCCTTGAAAAATTTCAAATTTGTGGAGCATAAGAAGAATAAGCAATTGAATGGGTATGAGATGTTATCACAAATAGAAAGCTTAATTTATGCAGTATTCATCATAATTGACATGTGTGGTTTTCAAATTTTGTAACAGATATGATTGCGGCATGTATGTTATGATGTGGATGGAATCGATCGGTTCTACAGGGGCAACTGGTGATTTTGTAAGTGGATAGAAAAAATTG